ACAACAGTTTATACACATTTTAAAGGTCGTTCGGCTCCTAGAAAACCCATATTTGTATTAGAAAATCCAGACATTCCTTCAGTCCTCAAGACATCTTTGAGACTAGACGGTCTTACGTCTGTGATTATTCACAATTTTGGTGACATCCACAACCTCGACAATCCTAGACTCCATAGACTTCCTTGGTCTTGGGGCGATTTTCATCAGTTTATGTCACTATCAACTATGTCTCAGAATTTCATCTAATAGACAAATTGAGTCCTGGGCATTATACACGTCCTAGGCCCTGGGACACTCCCAATGTTGGAGTGATAAGAGACCCAGTTGTTGTTGTTGTTGTTGTTGTTGTTGTTGTTGTTGTTGTTGTTGTTGTTGTTGTTGTTGTTGTTGTTGTTGTGTTGGTATCAACAACACTGACAATCCACATCACTCAGCCGGGACCAACGTCAACGTCAACCGTCGCTAAGTGATTGATCACTCTGTTCCAACATCCTTACACCTCAGTTCTGGGCTACAGGGAGTAACACTTACAAAACTAGTTGATTGTGTAACAATTTAATACTTTGAACCATTTTTGGTATTGGTACAGTTAATGGTTTTGAGTTTAGGGAGTTTGTTTTTGTCATTGAAACAAATATTTTACCCCAGTTCACCTTAATAACTCGCACTACTTTTACTTTAATCAATTAAAATTATAAACGTATTATTATTTAATATTCAAAGTGTTTAATATGGGCTATTAATTAATAAGCTCCCTATTTCTGATAGACTGCTGGTGCCTAAGGTTAAAACTAATGTTCAACAAAGGTTGTTAGACGTGCAAAACAAAACAAAGCAATACTATGACGTAGTAACAAAACTTGGGAACCTGCAATTGTAATTAAAAAACATGAGGCTCCAGATCTTACTGGGTAAGAAATAAGGCAGGTAATGTTGTTCGTAGAAACTCTGTGTTCATGAGAAAATCATATGTAAGAACTCCCCATCCTGACTCACCACGCAGGGTGGGAACATGACAACATTATATATGATAATTAACCTTTAAGCATAGCATATATAACACAAAGTGTTTACCTAACCCGCCATGTTAAACTTCCCTATCCTAAGCGTGATGTATACAACTTCCTTACTTCTCGAGTGATGTAAAGTTGAAAAAAAACTCACTCGGTGATGTAATGAAACCCATTTAAATAACATTGAGTGGATAACTTAAAAAATATACCTCTATGGAGCCGACGACGTTCAACGCTAGAAATCAGCTGTGTGTTTGAATTTTATTGTTATGCTTTGAAGAATTTTCCTAACCTAGCTTTTGTTTGTAAATGAAATGAACGTTACTGTTAGAGAAATTGATAATGAAGCATATTGCTCGTAACCTCCTGAATATTGTCGGGTCAGGTAAAATCTTGTACGTTACACGTTACGCAAGAGCGTGTTTACATCACTTCGGTGAATTATGCAACTCGCCTTCGCTCGTTGCACAACATTCACCTGCGTGATGTAAAAACGCTCTTACTACACTTGTAATGTAAATAGCTATTACATAGGACATTCGTCTCAGCATATTAAGGTGTGAAAACTATCCAGGTGTATTATGTATCAGAAACTATAAATCAAGGCTCGAGTTGAACTTTAACTGTAGGTGTGACGAACATTTTTATCAAGGATCAATTACTGTAATGTCTTTTATGATAAATTTTAAATTTAAGATTAGACCCAAACTGTAATACATTTTAGTTTAGTGGCCCCATTACTTAAATACCCCACGATTAACAATCGATTTTTATACCCAGACCAAAACTATTCGAACGATTTATTAATAGTACAACCAGAATTGAATTATAATTCCGTTCCGCAGCAAACCTTGTAATTCCACTGTTGCTGCACACTCGTAAACATGTATGTACATAGCTTAGTACGTTGTTAATCTATTCTAATGGAAACTCGGACCTTGGAATGTATTTAATAACGGAATCAACACGTACACGAATGGTTTACCTTGATTAAACATACCACAGTTGACAACAACAATGTCATCTCACCGTTATCTAACTCACCTACAACGGCTACAACGTGCTGGGTTGTCGCAATCCACTGCTAGTTCACTGCTTGGCCGCGTGGCAGCAGCAGCTGTCTACAGCTGGCAGATAACGCTGCATTCCTGCGTTAACAAAACAGCTGATGATGTCACCGATGACGTGTTGTTGTAAATGAGTTGCTGACGAACATGTAAACAGCAAAGCTAACCAGATATCTAAGTTGAAAACATTGTCAATGTAACAGCGATATTTAACCCATATTGTTGTCACTAAGTTTTAAAGAATAATTTAATAATAATGTTATGTTAATTATGTGTATATCATAAATAACCGTACATTTTTGGTATATTTACAAACTTGATCAAACTAATATACATGGTGTGTATAACTCTTTGAAAAGATTTTGTGTATGTGTCTTTAGGCCAACACAACAAAATAAACATCAAACTAATATGTGTCCAAAATGTCTGGTTTCCTGTCTGCCTCTGTATGTGATTACATATTAAAAAAAGTATCTATTACTTTTTAGCCCCTACACTGAATAAAAGCTTTTCCTACAGTTACCCAATGTACATGTTCTCTCACTGATTTGAGAAAGCAAAGTGGCCAATTCGCTTATCAGTGAGACAATGTTTACATTGTCTCAGCTGTTGTACTGTTGTATCATAAAATGTAATATTAAAAGTTCACTCCTGTGTAAAAATATGTTAAGTTTCTTTACCAATTTATTTGTTTTATGGTAACTGTAGGAAAAATATAATGTGCAACTCGAATGCAAAGTGCAATTGCCTCACTCGAGAAACCATTCCTAAGGATTTCTCTTGAGTGAGTCAATTGCTCACTTTGCTCACTAGTTGCACAAATAACTATAGTACACAAGTTAATGGTAACTGTTATGACAAACATATACAAACATTATCAAAATGGCGTGAATTTAAAATTTTATTTCCTGAATATCTAAACATTTTGGGATTTTTCTAACATATCCAAAGAATTGTTTGGTTTATAAATAACGATTCATAAACCATTAAAATATATTAATTTGTTTGTGACCATGCATCGGACAGGCCGTCGCCGTAGCTACCCATATGTGATTAGCCGCGGTGCAACAACGGAAAACAATAAAAGAACATAAAATTAATTTACATCTTCTAACAAAAATTGAAATACCTAACTATTGTATAATAATTAGATTCAACTCAAAAGATAAATTATTTTACTCAATCCATTCTATTTACAAAACTAGTAAACATAAACAATTAATTAATGAACACATGTTTTAAAACTATACATTAACAAGCATCTGGGACGGGTGGCGTTGTCCTGTAATCCAGCTACTAGGAGGTCACGAATTGTGGATATTTATAGGGATGCACTGTGGATGCGATGCTCCCTGGTGTGGATTAACGTCCGCACTAGTGAGTACTACGACTATCCGCAGTACTATCCTGATAATTAGACCAATTCGTAAATTACAAGGAAAAAATGTGGTTCGGATTCCACTATAAACTGTAGGTCCCTTAGTTGCCATTAGCTGTATGGGCTATTAATAAACAGCTGTGTCTAAGGAACATGTCGGCCTTAGTCACTAACAAGACTACAAGATCGCGCCACTCATCCTACACTCATCCTTCACTCATATTTGGGTTAAAATACACACATAGTGGCGTCCCCATCTTAAATAATTGATAATTGATAATTAATTGATCAAACAGATTTTAAAGTAACAAAATAACTTCTTGAGGGCAATTAAAAAAACTTTTCTAATTGTCCTGTCTACTGCTCCACAATAAAACATTTTTAATTTAAAAAACTTTAGCCACACCTTATGCACAAACAATGACGTCAACCACGCTCCTGCGTTTAAGCTATATACTATAGTTGTGTTTTATATGCAAACATAAACCAACATTGAGGGACTACTTATTTTTAAAATCCTAATGAAAAAAAGGAAACGTGAAAAGCGTCTCATTTCAGTACAGTATTTCACATTATGGTTAAACGGTTAAACTCCGTTATACAGTTAAAGTATAATAATTTTTTGTCTGTGGTTTGACAAAATACAAATATCAATAATAATTAAAACATATGATCACAAAATTCAAAATGAATTTGTTTACCAACATCTGAGACAGAACACAAGATAACCACAAAAATCTAACGGAGGACAATGTAAATTTTCAGTTTTGAATATAAACATTTTAAGGTAATTCTTTTCATGTACTAATACATATAAAAATTAGTAGTCATGTACCTTCAGTTAGTCATAATACTGTAGTATGTGTAGAAACTAAAATTATGTTAGAAAACTAACTGAAATAGGCCACTGTAAATATTGCATAGTTAACATCATAGAAACATTGTCAAAACTATCTAATCAAATAGCTATAATACTATGGAGAATGATTGGCTGTATAAACTATAAATCACCACCAAGTATTGGGTATGATTAACAATACCCGTATAATATCAACAAGATAATGATACTAAACATTCCAACCTCTGTAAATAATTATTTCAAGAGTAAGATAAATAGCACTTTAATGCTGGGAGTCTTCTCTCGCCCAAGAGGGCGTTATGAACATGATTTCTATACAACTGCATCAAACCCATAAGCCTGGAACATGAGTAAGTTCTGTATCAATCGTGCTTTACTATCACATATCACATAATCACATTGTAAGTGATTTAGTCAGTGAGGGACCGGATGTGACGGTTGTTTATAGTTTTATATAGGTTGACGGTTACTTTAACCTTGCATTTGATCTGTCCTCATGGCCCTCACGCATGTGCGTAGCTTGGCGTAAACATATATAGTTCAAGAATGATTGAAAAATGTTTGTGGCTGCGCCGAGACGGGAACCCAACCACTACCAAGAATTCCGGAATTCGTATTCCACCGCGCTACCCCGTGAGCCACCGACTCATCAAACCCTACACTAATCCAAGTGTCATTTCTAGATGGGAGGCCCCGCTGTTGGTATAGACCTGGGCACCACCTTCTCCTGTGTCGGCATCTGGCAGAGCGGCAAAGTGGAGATCATCGCCAATGACCAAGGTAACAGGACGACACCGAGCTACGTAGGGTTCACGGACAAGGAGAGGTTGGTAGGGGAGGCGGCGAAGAACCAAGGCGCTCTCAACCCCCAGAACACCGTATATGGTAGGTTTATAGGTGAAGTTTGTCTGAACCAGGCAGTGTAGTATAGTGATAAGAGGCATCTTAAGAATATTTATCTAAAATCCGCTATAGCTCTACAGTTTAGTTATCTTACTGTGCTAATACTTACATTTTAAGTCTGCTGGTTCGATCTTTTACAGTACCGGTATCGATTGTATAAATATACGCCATTTGCTATTTTCCGTGCCCTTCCTAAAAACATAAAAATGCTTAAAAACTAAAATCCTTTTAAATGCAAATCCATCCATTTATTTTTAACGATTTTGTTGTTGATGAAAAAATTTTCTTTAGTAAATCAGACAAATTCCCATAATCATGGTATTCAGAATACAACGTAAGAACTTTGTTCATATCTAGCAAAATGATGGTTAACGTCTACCTACAGACAAAGAATGTCTATAAGTACTTTCTAAAAGGGTTTCGTATTTACCTATATATGATTGTTTTATAATATAGATGTCAAGAGATTGATCGGTCGGAAGTTCAATGAGGAGTCTGTCCAGAAAGACATTCCCGCTTTTCCCTTCCAGGTGTTGAACAGAGACGACAAGCCTATGATCCAGGTAATATTTTTTCCATATACCCTACTTTAACTTTATAATTATACTTGAAGAAAGAGCAAAGATGACTCATGGTTTGACCAAATATTCTCCTTCTGACCAAATTATTTGTCAAGGTATGGCATTTCACGGTGAAAACTGAAAAATTAAGACATTCATTCCGCCCTATGAAAGAAACAAATGTCTTAACTTTAACAAAGTATAGGATTTTACAATTAGAGTTTTCAGGTGCAATACAAGAACGAGACGAAGGTCTTCTCCCCGGAGGAGATATCCGCGATGGTTCTCACCAAGATGATAGCTACAGCAGAGACCTACCTGGGACAGAAGGTACGACAGGCGGTGGTGACGGTACCAGCTTACTTCAACGACGCTCAGCGACAAGCTACCAAGGACGCGGGAACTATCGCTGGAATCAGCGTCAGCAGAATCATCAACGAGCCTACAGCGGCGGCCCTGGCGTACGGGCTGGACAAGAAGGTAGGAGTAATCGTCTTGCGTAGTTTAACCTCTGAAGACGAATTTGTAAAATATAACGGTAATGTGTTGGACCATACAGGTGGGCAGTGTGAGGGATTGTATTGGATGTATAGCATTTGCAATACTTGTTTGATTATCTGAAGGTTTTTTGAAACATAAGAAACTTCAAAGCACTTTTGGAAGGTTTGAGACTGTGCCTAGCAATCTGTGAGCATTGGACAATGCGTGGTTATGTGATTCTGGCTAAATAATCTGTTGGTACTCGCCAAAAACCGAAATTTTACTTATTCGTGTCACAATAATTCTGCATCCATCTTCACAATATGGTGCACTAGCAACAGATCCCGTTGTGGTTAGATACAACGGTCTCTAGAAAGATAATAGTTATGCAATCCACACACTACTTTATACTCACAAATAATTAACACATACGCTTAAAAACACACACGTAACAAAAGGAACGCACTTTAACCACAAATTCAAAATATAAACAACAAATAAAAACAAAGAAAAATATAGGAAATTATACAACAACTAGCTGTTAAATTATTAACACATGTTCCATGCTCAGATGATGCATACCGGCAAACCGTAATTCATAATGCATTGCAAATCTACACGGACGAAACTCCCCATTGACCAATTAATTAATTAATGAAATAAAAGTAAAATAATTCTTTAATAAAATAAATAAATTAATTAATTAATAAAAGTCCAGTATAACTGTAGATTTAGGTGTACAAAGATTTTTTAAACTGGATTATTATAGGAGTAGACGGGTGCCGTAGTTGAGCAATAAGAAACAATGTGTAAACACATTTTAACTTAATCTAACGACCATTTCCAGGGTGCTCCAGAAAAGAACGTACTGATATTTGATCTTGGAGGAGGGACTTTCGACGTGTCTATATTGAACATTGCAGACGGAGTGTTTGAAGTCAAGGCCACGGCCGGCGACACACATTTGGGAGGAGAGGACTTCGACTGGCGAATGACCAATCACTTTGCCCAAGAGTTCAAACAGAAGTTCAAATCCGACATTACCGGAAACAAACGAGCGATGAGAAGATTGCAGAATGCTTGTGAACGAGCCAAGAGAACACTGTCTTCCTCTACACAAGCTACCATCGAGGTGGATTCCCTCCACGACGGGATAGACTTTTTGTCATCAATAACTAGAGCCAAGTTTGAAGATCTTAACGCAGATTTGTTCAAACAAACGTTGGAACCCGTGAAAAAGGCAATGGATGATGCAAAGCTTTCAGCTTCAAAGATTCACGAGATAGTCCTTGTAGGTGGTTCAACAAGGATACCTAAAATTCAAAGTCTTCTTTCAAACTTCTTCGATGGAAAAGAACTTAACCAGTCAATCAACCCTGACGAAGCCGTTGCGTACGGAGCTGCAGTTCAAGCTGCTATACTTCATGGAGACAAGACCGAAGAAGTGAAGGATCTTCTGTTGATTGACGTCGCTCCACTTTCCCTTGGTATTGAAACAGCTGGGGGTGTAATGACTATATTGATCCCTAGAAATGCGACAATACCTATAAGACAGACTAAAGTATTCACAACATACGCGGACATGCAGACGTCAGTGTCTGTACAAGTGTACGAAGGGGAGAGAACAATGACCAAAGACAACAATCTATTAGGAAAATTTGAGCTGCAAGGAATCCCACCTGCGCCTAGGGGAGTCCCTCAGATTGAAGTAAGTTTTGACATAGATGCTAACGGAATACTGAACGTTCAGGCTGTAGACAAGTCCAGTGGTGCTTCCAAATCCATCACCGTCACCAACGAGCGTGGCAGACTCACCAAGAAAGACATTGATCGGATGGTAGCGGAGGCGGAAAGGTTTAAAGAAGAAGATAACCGAGAACGAGACAGAGTGGATGCAAAGAATAAACTAGAGACGGTATGTTTTACGCTCAAGTCTGCTGTGGAAGAGGCCATACTGACCAACAAGATATCTGAGGACGAGAAGAACACTGTGGTGCGGAAATGTAACGAAATGCTGATGTGGATAGAGGCAAACAAGGAGGCAGACTTAGAGAAGTACAACAGGAAGATGAGTGAGCTACAGAGCTTGTGTAACCCAATCATGGCTAGACTGTACAGGGGAGGGGAGAACATGGGGTCACAAGGAGGGCCGAAGATAGACGAGGTTGATTAATATGCAAGAGATATAAACAGGAAATTAATTTATACCATGAAAAATACAAACATGTATACGAACTCACGATTTTGATTTAAATTTTGTATGTTAATTACGGTCCTTATGATTAACAAAATGGCACAGCCCCAATTGCTGTCAATTCAGGGCTTAAAAGTTATTGCAGATTTTCAAATTTCCCCCATAAAATTTCATAGTTACACTCACCGCTTACCCAAAGCTTAATGACAAGCTAATGGGAGAAAGTATGTGTCAGATTGCTTATACTATTTATTTTTATGTATCTCATCTAGATATACAAATAGAGATTTAGTTTGTAAGATTAGAAACGGGCAGTTTCAAATATACGAAAGAAAGAAAAATCATAGCAATTTAATTTAAATCATAGTGTACTGAATTTAATTGCCATTCAATTTTTAAACTAAGCTAATATAGTCCCCCGACTAATATAGTGTAGACATTAACTAAACTAATATAGTATAGATTATACACCCACCAGTTGTACATGTTTCAAACTGATTGCAAATATTGTTCATTTAAAATGATCATTCATTCATATCTACATAAATAAACATGAATCCCTTGTTTGATGGTATTCCATAACTCGAGATCGAGTGCACTGAATTGGATGATTCTTTTTAGTTGGGTTTTTAGTGCCAGGGGAAGGTTTTTATGAAAGGAAATGTATAATCCATCCAACCGTTATTCAGTAATTTGATATTAAAAAAAAAAAATGCCTTTCTTTATATTTTTGGCTCACTCACTTCAACCTGGAGGCGATTGAGTATAGCAAAAGAGCTAAACCTGAAGGCGATTGAGTGCAGTGAACGAGCTCTAACCAAAAGGTGAGTGAGCGTAGCGAACGAACTTCAACCATGACGTGTTTGAGCGATGCAATCGAGCTCATCTTGAAAATGAATGACCATTTGACATAAAACCACATTAGGACAGGACGACGTCTGTAATATTGGGCCAGCTAGTATGCTATAATTTATAAAGTACTTCTTTTGTCCGTACACCATTATCTTCCTTAATTCTTCACCAATTTCCATAAATGAGGTTTCATTTTAAAGCCCTTTTTACCAACTTCATCATAAAAGTATACAAACCACTCATTTTTCATTAGTTTTTCGTAAAAACGATTTATTTTGTCATTCTGCAAGTAATTTAGACTTGAAATGTTTACTCGCGTTATTCGATCAGCTGAAACATGTGAATTAAATTAATCAAAACAAACAAATATTTATTTTCAAATCCGAGTGATTTGTTTTTACTTCATCCACGGAGACCAACATAATTAGTCTGTGCTTTTACGATAAATATCCCTGGAGATGAAAACACACTTGCAGTCCAAACAAGAACAACTCAAAAGTAAGTACCACATGGATTCTTTAGCTTTTATATTTCTTTATTGTGGGCATAGCCTTCATTTTGACATACCTACCAACCATTCTATGTATGTTTAAGAAATCTATCTTCAAACATCACAGGTTTCATAAATGGTTATGTTGTGTCGAATTTGTTACCGGGAGGAAATGGTTTACTGTATATCAGTTTTATTCTGATATTTACCAAAGAACGTAGAAAGTTTTTTTTGTTCCATTAGTTTTTGAACTCGTTAAGCCCTTTAGGTTTATCCCATCATAAACCCATGTTAAAAGAACTCTATTATCAAGTTGATAAGAAACATGAGCAGGGTCCAAGATTGGTTGTAGCTTGCTCTCTTGGGCACCTACACTATCAAAGCGAAGTTGGTCAAACTACTCAACGGTTATACAACGCAACAGTCCGAAATCCTTAATATGCATGAGATATGCATATATCCAACCCAAAATACACACCACAAAATAGTTCAAATAAATTGTTTTTTTAATGACAATGCATCCTACTTTAAAAAGACATTGGGTTTAACATTGGAACTTTAACGGGTCTGTAGTCGCGAATAAAAACTGCGAGTTCCTGCAGTCGCGTTGACGCAAAACAGTTCCAGCAACCATATTGCCTCCAGTATAATATCAGGCGCTGCTGTTATTCTACTGTAAATAGTAAATTCTGTACAGTACAAAGTATTTAAGTGGTAATCGGTATCTTACTAATATTATAAATCTGAAAGTTTGTGAGTTTGTGTGTATGTGTATGTGTGTGTGTGTGTGTGTGTGTGTTGCTCAATCACGCATAAACTACTGGACGGATTGGGCTGAAATTTGGCATGATGATAGCTCACATTCCCGATTAACATTAACACAGAGGATACGCGTCCGGTAACCAGACGTGGATTAGGCGTCCGGTAGTGACGTCACCGGGTTGTGGGGTCCCGGAACGCCATTACCACAACGATACGATGTTCGGCCAGCGTTGTTCGTGGTGTAATGGATAGAGTGCTCGGAAACCCATTGGCTTCTTTAACTTTTTGTCACAGATTTTGCTTAGAATGTAATTTCTTCTTAACTGTAAATCTTTTGTTAGAATTTTTGGCATTTATAATTTTATGTTATGAAGAGAATTGAACCTTCATTTGATTTTTTCATTATCAGCAAGTTTGGTTGGTTAGGTTAGGTTATGACAGTAACTGCCGGACGCCTAATCCACGTCCTGTTACCGGACGCGTATCCTCTGCGTAACATTAAAGCATATTCTTATCTCAAAATATATGCTCAAAATATATATGGGGCTCCGCCCCAGTGGCTCTGTAGTTCCCCATGTTAATCTTATGATTTTTAATGTTTAAAAGTAATTAATGAATCTTAACAGCTGTTTCAATTAAACAAGTTGGTTCTGTTCTATGATGTTCAATAGCATAAAAGTTACAAGGACTACCAACAGGGTGCAGCACTATTATTTTTTTAATTTATGACAACAGCTAATTTCCAACCAAAAGGTGAGTGAGCGTAGCGAACGAACTTCAACCTGGAGGCGAGTTAGCGTAGCGAACGAGCTAACCTGAAGGCAAGTGAGCGCAGCGAACGAGCTCTAACCTAAAGGTGAGTGAGCGTAGCGAACGAACTTCAAACAGGACGTGAATGAGCCATGCGAATACTTATGAAGTTAAACGGGGCGAAGCCCGCGGGTACAGCTAGTAACCTATAATTCTTAAACCCGTGTTGTTTAAATTACATATTAACTATATTTCATTGTTAAATTTATATAACGATAAAAATGCTGTACATATGAAATTGATCCGTGTTTAAAAGTGACTTCCTTGATTTTTTACTAACCGTTTGAGAGACAAGGAATATACAAAAATTATGATAACATAAAATTTAACATAAAATTTACTCAAAACTTAAATTAAATTACTTTCAATTTGTTTTCAATGTCTATATAACTTGTTAAGCAACCACAGTAATCGCACTTGTAATAAGCATAAAATTATTGTTTATGTGTTCAATTACAATTATTGAGCATGTAGTAATGTTTTAGTTGCTGAGCTTTGTGGTTCTATCATACAATTAATTGTTTAAACAATGTTAAACACATTGACGAATAAAATATATACGTTTAAAATAATGTACGTATTTATTGAAAAATTACCACATCCCTATAATTATTTTATTCCGTGTTGTTAACTTAAATTCTTAAGGTACTGTGTATTAATCAACTATAATTATAAAATTAAATTGGATAGTTTCTTTGATTTAATATACAGAAGTATTAAATTAAGCTACCAAAGCATTCTGTGTAAATTGATTTACACAGTTTATTTATTTATTTATTTGTTTTCTTATAAACAAAATGCACACTTTATTTAGGCTCATAAGGCTCAATGAGAAAACCACACGAGCTAACGTTCCGTTCTGTTTCATTCTCCTGTAGTTCCTGCTAATGCCGATAGGTGCCAGCAAGAGCGGGACTAAGCATGCCTGCGCTCTATTGTACAAACTGCTAACTTCCTGGGCTTCGTTGTTTTTACAGGATAAGTTTACAAAAGCGAAGTAATATGTATTTATGTACAATCATCGACTATTGAATACTAAATGTACAATACATTTTTTTTTTACATTTTACAAGTATTAAGTTTAATTTGACCAGTTTGCTTAGCCTAATGCCAAAATGAATTCATTTTAGTAGTGTTTTAACAAAATAAAGTATAACTCAAATTACAGATATTCTTACGCTATTTTTAATTTTCCATTGCATCGTTCAATGAAAAAAAAATCGTTTTGGAGGCTATACTGTGTCGAACCATAATCGTTGGGATATTAATATAATAATATGCTCCTATAACTCAAAAGTTCGACGTAAAATAGTAACAAGACCAGGGTTTGGACCGTTCCCTTGAACGAATCGTAAAAATACCTGGAATAACAAATAAACTTGTAATTAATTAATTTAAACATTTTATATACTATATAAAAGTAATACCTAAAATCCCAAAGAAAGGTTACAACTTGGGAATATTATAAGAATAATTATGTACACGGAGCTGATGACCAACTGAAAACGTTAATGAGATAAATTTGTCACTTCGACCCAAATCTCGTCGTATCGACCCTTTAATCAGAAGTACAAATATTACATCAGTGAAATTCGATGACATTATCTCAGATGTCTCAAAGTAAAGAAGATTACTTCTTTCCTCAATTGCCTCATTCCCTTGCCAAATTTACCTACCTACAAGTGATTACTGAAATGGCCGAGACTCCAAAAAAAGTGTGTAGTGTTAAAAGTGTAGTGTTGTCAGGGGTGGTTTTGCTAGGGTTTGGATTCGTCCCTTTATTTAAAGTTCGCTTGCTGTTGCCATGGGGTAAGCTGTCGTTGCTTCAGGTGTTCCTACCTTTCTAACATTCCCCTGCGCCACTCGACGTTTCTTATCTGATACCACATACTGCTTCTGCACCATTTGCATTTTTTCTAAAATCTATTTAGTGTGTCATGTATGCATACAATTGTACAAAACAAAACAAAAGTTAAGAATGAAACAAGAAACACCAAATACACAACGTAATTTGGAGGCTTGATTTTGAATTTTGCCTTTTACATTATATACGAGGGTTACTAATAATTACTAAAGCAAAACTTAATTGTTTGCTAAGAGACGAAGAAGGGCCTGATTAAATTCCTAGACC